GGGGGGGGGGGAGGGGGCACTTCACATGCTGCCTGACCTGCAAACAGACAGCTCTTATTGGCTGGAAACTGGCCAGAGCTGCAATATTTTGCTGGAGGCAGGGGCAGTGTAAGAAGTCACTCCCCAGAACTTGTAGCATTCAGAGAGCCCTCTCCTGCTGCATTTTCTGAATGTCCAGTGGGGGTGGGGCAGGCAGGGGAGCTGGCTGAAGCTCCTGTGGGCCAGATCTGGCAGGTTGGCAGGCCAGATTCAGCCTGCAAGCTGTATTTTTCCCAGCCCTGTTCTACAGAGTAGTGTAGTCTAGTCCTTACAGGCCTTCCCCATGCCATTTCTCACCCCTCTGCATTTCACTATGACTGCTTCTTTGTCCTCCTCCTCCACATTTCCTCAGCACCACCAAAGTGGTAGAGCCAAGGAAAGTTTTCCTGCTCTCAGTTCAGGTGCTCTGGCAGCTGGGCAGAACAATCATTGGAGGAGAAAGCCTTGTTGAGCTTTAGCACCCCTGGTCTGAAGCCAGTGCAGACAAAATTTAACTGCCAAACAAATCTGAGGAGTAGGGAGTGTGGGACTCCAGTGCACAAGAGGAGCATGGGGAGGGGACAGACAGGGTGACTGCAGGTGGAGCCCCGCAGTGCCCCAGGCCACAAGTTGCCCACCACTGGTATAACTACATATACAAGTGCTCTAAATCAGAACCCTGACTTGAATATCCTGTTCCTATGTGCTACACATCTATTTACAGTAAAAGGCCAATGGTCCAGCATCTGATAGTTCAGCACTCCTGATGGTCCGGCACCATCAGGAACCCAGAAGTGCTCCGGGCAGCCGGACCATTGGGGCTGCTCTGCCCCCAGCTTCCCTAATTCAGCCGCAGCTAAAACTGACTAGCGGCAGAATCAGAGAAGCTGGAGGCAGAGCAGCTGGGTTGCTGCCGGGTTGGTCCCGTAGCACTGCCCCTTGGGGACAGTTGCTCTGCCCCCAGATGTCCCTGATTCAGCCGCTGCTGAAGCTGTCCAGCGGCTGAC